GTCTAGACCCGGGCTCTGATGCTAGCACCTGCCCACCCGTGTGTGTGTCTAGACCAGGCTCTGATCCTAGCACTGCCCACCTGTGTGTGAGTCTAGACCCAGCTCTGAGGCCACTTGTGCTCATTGCTCTGTTCTTAGGTGGGCTGTCGAGTCATGCTGGCCCATTGCCGTGCAGCCTCACCCCCAGAGGCTTGAAGAAAAAGGCAGAGTGGGTGGGGAAAGGAATCTCATGCCGTCTGCCATCCACCCCAGCCCAGCCGTCACTTCCGAGGAGTGAGTTCCTGAACTTCCCGGTGAAGTAGAGCCGCTTCCCGGAGCCCAAGCTGAGGGGCTGGGACTTGGCCATATGCCAGCATGTAGCACAGAGCTTTGCTCATAATGAGGTGCTTGGTAAAATTTTGTCAAAGTCAATTTAACAAATATTTCTTGAGCACCTACTGTGTGCCAAGCCCTAATCGGTGAATAAAGCAAAGACCCCTTCCTCCCCAGAGCTTATGCCCTAGCAGAAGTGAATGAAAGCTGGGCTCTTTTATTGTAATTGTGTAACATATAAATGTGTGCTTCAGAATTCGCCTCAGGAGCTGTAACACCACTAGGGAAACTGAAAGTGTAGGAGTGATGTGGGGTGTGTCTAAATTCAGTCTCCCTTGTATTTTGTCCCTTGGTGGCAGAACAGTGAAATGGCGATCTGTGAAAGTTGTGGTCACAGCATCTTCATCATTTCAGATGTGAGAAGAAATACTAGCCTCTGGATTGAATCCTGTTTTATTTGCTAGATGTGTCTGGTTCCCCTTACTTTTTTTTTTTTTCTTGACAGACTTCCTCATCCCACAAAGCCACAGACAGGCGAACGTCCAAGAAGTTCAAATGTGACAAAGGTCATCTTGTGAAGTCAGAATTACAGAAGCTTGTCCCTAAGAATGACAGCGCTTCTTTGCCAAAAGTGACACCTGAGGCCCCTTGTAAAAATGAGTTTGCTGAAAGCAGTGCCTTGCTTCCAGGCAGCGAGGCTGGCGTTTCTGTGCAGCGGGGGGCTGCAAGTCTTCCCCTCGGTGGCTGCCGAGTTGTGAGTGACTCTCGCTTAGCAAAGGCTAAAGACGGCCTGTCCGTGCCGAAGCACAGTGCTGGGTCAGGAGCAGAAGAATCCAATAGCAGCTCCACTGTGCAGAAGCAGAACGAGCCAGGGCGAGAGACAGAGGACGTGCAGAAGCCACCACTTCAGATGGACAACAGTATCTTTCTGGATGACGACAGCAATCAGCCAATGCCCGTGAGCCGGTTCTTTGGAAACGTTGAGCTCATGCAGGTAAGGGCGGCGCCTTCCTCCTCCCGTGGGTACTCAGGCAGCCAGCCGCACTTTCCAGTCACACACTCCCCACTCAGTGCAGGTAAATAATGCCTCGACACAACATTAAACATAAATTAATCATTTTAACCCACGAGGAGAAAATGAAAACATTGGCTAATTGGGGGCCCTCCGTCCATCTCCCGAGCTGAGAATCACTGCCATTGGGAAAGGCGGCGGTGGGAGGGGGCCTCCCGCAGCCACAGGTGTGTTTCCATGAAATCAGGTTTGTGGGTTTTTTGAACATCCACCCCACGCTCGCTGTTGCTTTCTTTTGTTTTGAACCCAGCCTCTTTCCTTTTTACCCGATCAGCCCAGTAGGGAGGAAGCTCTCATCTAGAGGTGAATGCTGGGACTCAGGCGTTTTCACGCGCCTGACAGGGAAGAGCGCTCTGCGAGCCCCAGAGCTGCTGGATGGGGCACGCTGCAGATGCGGGTGCAGATGTGTGTTGCTCGTGACTGAAGCCATGTTTTCTTCTCTAAGGACCTCCCACCTGCGTCTTCATCGTGTCCTTCAATGAGCAGACGAGAGTTCAGAAAAATGCATTTCAGAGCCAAAGATGATGATGATGATGATGATGATGATGATGATGATGATGCAGAAATGTAGAGGCCATACAAAATGATGTCCTTGCCCTATTTCATACCATTAACAATGTGACAGTTTAGCACATTACAAGGTTTATATAAAATGTATCTCCAAGAGAATGTCCTTATCACACTTCAGAACTGACCCATCAAAGTCAATAGTGCAAAGCACTGAATACCTGTGGACGATACACTCATGGGAACTCAAAGTCAGACAGTCTTTGAGGTTGCAAAGCTGCTGTACTGTGCCAATGTACTTTCTTTTTTTTTTTTTTTTTTTTTTCTTGCAGACAGAGTTTCTTTCTTGTCGCCCAGGCTGGAATGCAATGGCGCCATCTCGGCTCACTGCAACCTCCACCTCGCGGGTTTAAGTGATTCTCTTGCCTCAGCCTCCTGAGTAGCTGAGATTACAGGCGTGCGCCACCATGCCCAGCTAGTTTTTGTATTATTAGTAGACACAGGGGTTTCACCATGTTGGCCAGGCTGGTCTCAAACTGCTGACCTCAGGTGATCCGCCTGCCTCAGCCTCCCAAAGTGCTGGGATGACAGGTGTAAGCCACCATGCCCGGCCAGTGTCCTTGTACACATACATACATGGTGATGGCTTGAGTCAGCTGCAGGGCAGTGGGCTCAGTGAGAGGGATTTTTGTAAAGACAGCTCTTCACTTCAGCTCAGTAGCTTTGGTCATAGGCAAGTTTGTTTTCCATTATCATAATTTGATCATACTTGTGATGAATTCAATGCTAGTTCTTAAAGAACTCTTATTTCTGTATGCAGAGCTAACGTTTACTTTGGAAATTTTGCAAAATACACGTAAGAAAGAAATAAAATATATTTTGAAAATATATTGAAAGCAGTCGTATGTTCTAAAACTGGATTCCTTTCTCAATGCCTGGGAGCTGAGTGGAGGAAGTGCATCCTGCCTCAGTCTCCTGCTCCCAAATGTTCGTAAGGCTGGGTCCATCTCTTTTTTTTTTTTGAGACTGAGTCTCTCTGTTGCCCAGGCTGGAGTGCAGTGGTGCGATCTTGGCTCACTGTAAACTCTGCCTCCCGGGTTCAAGCGATTCTCCGGCCTCAGCCTCTCAAGTAGCTGGGATTACAGGCGTGCACCACCATGCCTGGCTAATTTTTCATATTTTTAGTAGAGACGGGGTTTCACCATGTTGGCCAGGCTGGTCTCGAACTCCTGACCTCAGGTGATCCGCCCGCCTTGGCCTCCCACGGTGTTGGGATGACAGGCGTGAGCCACTGCGCCTGGCACGGGTCCATCTTTTAGACCCGTTCACCACTGAGGCCCTTGAGACAGGGCCTCTTCCCTTCTCTTGAGTGTACTTCCACGCCCACTTGTCTGCCGCGGAAGTGCCAGGCTTTCCTAGTGTGTGTGGTGGAGAAGGCCGGGCTCTCCTCCAGGCCATGGAGAGGTCCGTGTGCAGCTGCCTGACAGGAGCCGCCCTCCCCAGCCCCAGCGGCATCAGGGAGCACCTCGCTGCGTGTGCTCGCCCAGGGCAGTGGAGAGAAGCCGCCGGGAGCGCTGTCTCCATGGCCTCTTCCTGCCACCATCTGCACATAGAAGCCGAGTGGACCAACCAGGAGCAAGCTGGGGTCCCTGGGTGACGAAGGACGGGGAGAAGTTGCCTAGGATGCAGGAAGACCATGTGGGCCTTTTCACGAGGGAGCAAGTCAGTCTTGCTGGTTTGAGCTTTTATACGTTTCTAGTTTAATTACAAGAGCAGCTAGAATTAACGCTGTGAAAATGTCCTGTGAAGCACAGGAAGGATTTTCCATAATAGATGAATTGGAAGCAAAATACAGTTGAAGCGCCCTATGAGAAGTGTTTCTGCTCTTTACTGTTCAAACACTGCCCTCCCTGAAGGTGTCATTCTCCACTTCTAATGTGATCCTTTTCTCATGAGCTGTGACCTTCACCTGCTTTGAATAACTTTGTGATTTATTGATCAACAAACTATAATTTGGAAATGTGTCTTGTAAAGTCATTTTATGATAACCAGGGAAATTAATTTACAACTTTTGCCAGGCACAGTGGCTCACACCTGTAATCCCAACACTTTGGGAGGCCAAGGCAGGCAGATCACTTCAGGTCAGGAGTTGGAGAACAGCCTGGCCAACATGGTGAAACCCTGTCTCTACTAAAAATACAAAAATTAGCTGGGCATGGTGGTGGGCGCCTGTAATCCTAGCTACCTGGGAGGCTAAGGCAGACACTTGAAGATCACTTGAACCCAGACACTTCAAGGCAGACTACTTGAAGATCACTTGAACCCAGGAGGCGGAGGCAGATCACTTGAAGGCAGGCACTTGAAGATCACTTGAACCCAGGAGGCTAAGGCAGACACTTGAAGATCACTTGAACCCAGGAGGCGGAGGTTGCAGTGAGCTGAGATCGTGCCATTGCACTCCAGCCTGGGCAACAGAGCAAGACTCTGCCTCTAAATAAACAAATAAATAAAGTACAACTTTAGATTGCTGCATGAATAACTATTAATAACAGCACTTATCTTGGTGGTGATGAGAATTTTGCCATCCTCCAAGCAGACTTCAGTGAGGTGCACGGTCCCAAACGATGATACACCTGCAGAGGAGATGCAGCATGCAGAGTGGAAAGTGCGTACATTCCTGGGGCCACCCCTGTTCACTCAGTTGTTAACCTGCACTAACAAGCACTCCCAGGTAGAAACTTTCCTAGTCTACATGTGGACTGTAGCCTGCACAGACCTAGGGGGACGGAACAAAGGGGGACAAATGAGGGAATAAAAGACAAGATACAAAAGAGTGTAATTGTGCTGATGCACAGCCCCTGGCGCAGGCCGACTGTGGCTCTGCCTACAGTGCGCTTCCTCCTTAGCGGCAGGAAGGTCATGTCTTGTGGTCGTGTTCGCTGCAGCTTTGCCATCTGGTGGGAGCCTGGCGTTGGGCTGGTTGAGGCTGTCTGCAGGACCCTACTGAGCTCTTCCCTTGGAAGCTTCTTATGGATGCCAGGATCTCCCGGCAGGTGACCCTCAGCCCCACAGAACACACAATTCCACACTCTTAGCTCCTAGAATTTTTCTCCCTCTTGTGTGAGAATGGACAGACCACACACTCTTTGTTGCAGAGGTTCAGCCATCTTTTCTAACCTGAGACTCTGGGTGACGTAACTCCTGATAGGTGATAGCTCTTTGTAACAATCACCAGCACCTCGCCCAGCCAAGGGCCCGGAAGCAAGAAAAAAAACAATGACCAAAACACCATGTCACAGCCAGGAGAGCCTTGCACGCGTCACACACAGCTCAACAAGTCTGGGTTTCCGGTGTCTCACCTCCTGCAGAAATGAAGCCTCAAGTCAGAAAGGGTGACGAGGGGCACAGACAAGGCCCAACAGCAGCAGGGTGGCGCAGAAGGCCTGAGGGACACAAAACCTCCGAGGCCTAGTCTTGGGCAGTGGGGCAGCACTGTGGAGCCATGTGGTAGAGGGATAGCAGCCCTGAGTGTCCAGGGCAAGGTGGCACAGCACGCCCGGACTGCGGAGAAGGAAGGACTTCCCTCAAGAATGCGTCTTGCTCCAGGTGCAGGGGCTCACGCCTGTAATCCCAGCACTTCAGGAGGCCAGGGTGGGTGGACCGCTTGAGCCCAGGAGTTCGAGACCAACCGGGACAACGTAGTGAGACCTTCTCTACAAACATAAACATAAATTAGCTAGGCATGGTGACACACGCCTGGAGTCTCAGTTACTCCGGAGGCTGAGGCAGGAGAATCACTTAAACCCAGAAATTCAAGGCTGCAGTGAGCTGAGATCACACCACTGCACTCCAGCCTGGATGACAGAGCAAGACCTTGTCTCAAAAAACAGACAGCGAAAGAATGTGTCTCTGAAAAAGGCCCACGTCTATGGCTGGAAAACAGAGTAGCTCGTCTCCTGAGGCTGGAGCGATGGAGCTGGAAGGGCCTCACAGCTGTCCAGGCCAGGCTCCTCGCTGCACAGGTGGGATCTGCCGGCTCCAGAGAGTTCTTCAGACCCTGCAAGAGGGATCTGAGAAAAGGAACCAGGCCCCCCGGTTCCCAGGCCTTGACTCTCCCACTGTTTGTCCTTCCCTGATCAGAGCAGATAAACACCACTGTACCATAGATGGGACTTCTAGAAATATCCCACACAGGACTGGGTCATTTTAAGGTATTGCTTTAGGTCTGTGAAGAAAATGTAATAATGAAGTCAATTTGTAAAAGATCACGGACTCCTTATTTTTAATCCTTATTTTCAGCATCCTCAATGAGTGTAAACTTTTTTGACATGTCTATTTTTGAAAAATCTTTATTGCTTTTCCTGATTGTACAACAAATGTAAAAATTCAAATATTACAAAATGACTTAATTTAAAAAGTACATTTTAACATGTTATAAATGCCCATTTCAAAAAATTCAAGTACCATAAAATACATGATGTAGAAAATGAGCCCTCTGTAATCCAGCCCTACCCCCGTATCCCCCAGGATTACTGCTGTTCAGATCCGCGTGTTTCCTTCCAGATCGTCTCTGGCACCTGCCACCCACATGGCCGACATGAGCTCCATATGATCTGAGATGATAGTAACGCTGATCAATGAGCAGGGTTCAGCTGCCAGTGCACTGAACAGCTTCCAGTTTCTACATAGAAACACTTTCCTCATAAAAGCTTGAAACTGCGACATAGTTTTGCACTATGTAAATGTATCAGGTTGAATCATGAAATTAATGAATGCTGACCATTTTTGGCCTAGAAAACGGCAATTTCATGTGGTTCAACATAATAGCTATGACCCTACTCATAGGCATTGGGGGGTTTCCTACTTTTTGCCATTATAAACAATTCAGCAGGCCAGGTGCAGTGGCTCATGCCTGTAATCCCAGCACTTTGGGAGGCCAAGGTGGGCAGATCACCTGAGGTCAGGAGTTCAAGAACAGCCTGGCCAATATGGTGAAACCCCGTTTCTACTGAAA